TTTTTTTGTGTTTTTTCTATGTTATCGGTATTTTTCTGGACCAAAAAGTTTTAACCTATGAACAAAAATCTTGCCCATTGTATTTTTTGACGCAAAAGAAGTTTGACCATTAGTCTAAAAATCTTAGCTACGTCACTGATTCATACCAACTATTATGTGCTGCTGTAAAATCACAATTCATAATATGACCGGAAACTGATGTAAAAATCATTTGAACAGGTTGATTAAAAAGTTGATAGTTAAATTCATAAATTTTATTATATCTTGAAAAGCCTTCACGCTAAAAAAAAATAAAAGTATTTGAAAAACAATCGAAATTTTGTTTATCCTACCATAGATGCCCCGTTTTTTGAAAGAAGACGAGCTAATGATTTAGCAGCATCATTCTTTTCAGCAACATTAAGCACTCGATGCATGACTACTTTTAATACAATCGAAGTTAATTTCATTCAATCATGATCTGAAACAAAAAAATTAAAATTCTATTATATGCATTGATGGTCCATTTGTTTCACAGGAATAAATTTGTCTTATTCCATATGAACCTGCATGAACAACATTCTCTTTATTTTGACTACATGATTCACGTAAATTTAAAATAAATTTATTATAAAATTCTAATCCAATATCTTTATTTATATTATGATGATATTGAAATCGATGACCATTAAGACGACCGCCTATTGTTGCTTGTGGAATAATTAAAAGGTCACCAGGTAAATCAACAATTGTTTTCAAACCATTTTCACTCTCACACAATCGTACTGTTGCAATTTCTTTTGCTAAATGTTCAAAAAAAAATTCAAAAAAATCTTATTTTCATTTATCCTACCTATTTTATCAACATCATCCAATTGAGCATCTTTAAGAAATGCAACAAAAACCACCATACCACGATTAATCTCCAATAAAAAAAGAACTTTTCTTTTCAATTGTTTTCTACAAAAACAATCAATTTACCGTAACTACTGATTCATCTTCAAGACGTAACGTAGCTTTGGTACACTGTTGTAATAAACAACGAACACGAATAGTTGACATTAATCAAGAAAAACAAAAAAAAAAG